GCAAGCAGCAGAGCTCTTCCTGCGCAAAACAGCTGAGAGCAAAACAACTGAGAGTCGGGTGGCTGATCCAATCAGCTTGTGCTAATTAGGCTGTGCTGAAGCTGAAATGAGCTGTTTCTTCTTGCTGCTTGCTGCAAGGAGGTAACCTCCTGGGAGGCAGAGGCCAAAGAGTGGGGGACAGTTGGTGGGCGGGGTTACATTCGATGTATAAGACACACGTAAATTTCCACCCCCTTTTAGGGGGGGAAAAAGGTGCGTCTTATGCTCTGAAAAATACGGTAACTCAAATGGGCTAACATGCAAAATGCATTCAAAATCTGGGACCCACGACTCCAGAGGGAATGAAATTTGGGCTTCTTCTGGTCATGGCTTCTTCAAGATGCTGCTATGGTTGGGCTGCACTGCGGTCACATGATGGTAATTTTGATCATTCTGTGATTGTTTCCCTTCCACTCTTGCAATCCTTCTCTCTCTCTCCTACCCAGCAGCAAGGAATTGACTCACTGTGTCAGAAAGGCTGGATATTTTCCTGCTTTATTTGCCCTTCCTCTGGCACACAAACATGCACATTTATCTATATTCCATCTTTGTCCAGGAATGCAAAAATTATATATATTACTCCTATATTTCCTCACACCAACCCTATGAGGTAGATTGGGTTGAAAGTCATTAAGGGAGTTGCTGTGGCTGCAGATGGAGTAGAAACTGAATCTCTCTGGTGTCAGTCAAATACGTTAGCCATTCTCCATGGTCCTTGTCCTTTAATATTTGTTCTGCATGTTTTTTAATCTGGCTGTACACCGCCCTGAGTCCTCAGGGAGAAGGGCGGTATAGAAATCCAATATAAAATAAAATAAAATAAATAAATAAATAAAAAATTCTATTCATTTATTAGCTTCCTACTCTGTAACTGAATGTAGAATGCTCCTTTCAGTCACTGGAGATCAGGTAGACCAGTACCATCCTAGCCCTTAGGAGGTCATCAGCCCCTATTTTGAAACTGTCTCTGACTGCTTTTTAAACTCAGTTGAGAAGTCAATAGGGATTCTAAACTGTTCTCTGGTGACATCATTTGGTAAAAATAAAATAAATTAAAACATTAAAATTAAAATTCTAATTATACCCCGAGGGAATATAAAAATGAGAGTGCATTATGATCAAGAAATGACAAGCCTTGACATGACAATACCCTCCTTGAACAACAAACCTCAACAGGGAAAGAGTGAAGCAAAATGCATAATTTACACAACACAATATTTCTCCTGATATTGGTGCCAACACAATATATCTCCTGATATTCTCCTGATAAAGGTCTTCCTTTACTGTTGTGCATTCCTATTTCCTGGAAAATCTGTCAATTGCTGCTGTGTGAATGAAAAGGTCAGGATAGGCAATTTGCAACCTCTGTCTAATGAACTCCTCAATTTATATAGCAATAATGAACCCTTTGCAATTTAGTTCCGACAGAACATCAGACAATACAACTGCGTCTTTCAAATGACACTCTTTTGTGCCAAAGTCCTTCCAATGAGGAATGGATGGAATCCTTCTGTGAGTAATCAAGAGCAAATTACATTGACATTTAATGACAGACCCAAATAAATAAGCCAAATTTATTAAAATTTACTTCATGGGTCCTCAAGACGGTGTAGAATTGAGAATGGGCATATTCCACAATAATGGAAATCAATGTGAGATTGTAGATATGTAGGTGGGTGGGTAGCAAGAAGGAAGGAAGAGAGGAAGAAAGGAAGAGGAGGCAGGGGAGAGAAGGTAGGGAAGGAAAAAACAACAGCGGAGGGAGGGAGGGAGGGAGGGAGGGAGGGAGGGAAGGAAGGAAGGAAGGAAGGAAGGAAGGAAGGAAGGAAGGAAGGAAGGATTGCCAACACTCATGACAAGTTCCCACAAAGAAATCCAATGGGAAAGCCAACAGGAAATTGGAAGTTACTCCCCTCTCACTGATTTTTTTCTCACATATGGTTATTTTGCTTCTCTGTTTCGATAACGAGATATCTACTAAACGAAGACCCAATGAAGCACAGGTTGCCTAGTATGATTATAAAGGTTGATTCAACTTTTATAGAAAGCACCAATTTGGGGGATTTTATTATCCGGAATGGATCAACTTGTTGGGGCCAACTCGTGGCCAACTTGCTGCAAGACATCTTGCCATGGGACAATTCAACAAATACACAAGGTAAATTTTCAATAAAACTGTGGCCAATAATAATAAAATGAAGAAAGTCAATAGAGAAATAGTATTATCTAGTATCGACGAAAATGCGGTCACCAATACTAAAAGTAACCGAATGAAATGATTACTAGAACAATTGAATTGTCGTGCAGTCAGTTGGCTATGGTGAGTTGGTTGCAGCAAGTTGGCCAAATCAGGGCTGTCAAATTCCCAACCCATGGGCTGGATGCGTCATGTGCTGGCCACGCCCGATTTAGCGAACGAGAAAAAAGTCCCATATATCACATGATGCCGCCACAATGATGGGAGTTTGATACCCGTGGCCTAGACCCTTTGTTAAAGTGGTGAAATACAATTATTTTTACTACTCGTTCTGTGGGCGTGGCTTGGTGGGCGTGGCAGGGGAAGGATACTGCAAAATCTCCATTCCCTCCCCACTCCAGGGGAAGGATACTGCAAAATCTCCATTCCTGCCCCACTCCAGGGGAAGGATACTGCAAAATCTCCATTCCCGCCCCGCTCCAGGGGGAAGGATATTGCAAAATCTCCATTCCCACCCCACTCCTGAGGGAAGGATACTACAAAATTTCCATTCCCTCCCCACTCTGGGGCTAGCCAGAGGTGGTATTTCCCAGTTCTCCAAACTGCTCAAAATTTCCACTACCAGTTCTCCAGAACCTGTCAGAACCTGCTGGATTTCACCCCTGCTTTGTTATGTTTCTTCCATTACACAAGCTTTTATCTTGCAATATAACAAGGGAATAGAAGACCATGAATGAAATGCTTCCGGTTAATTACCTGGACCAAATATTCCTTTGACAGCAAAGGTAATCGAACATGTTCCATCAGACGTGCCATGAGTTCTTGCCTCACATCTTTGTCATAGTTAACCCAAGCAATCACTGCTTCAAACACCTTATATGAAATAAAGACACGTTATGAGTTCTGCATATGGTTTTCCTGACAGATAGATATAGAACGCTAAGATTTTGCTCATTTTATAATTCAAGCTGAAAGAGAGGAAGAACATTTCCAGCAACAGCCAGCTGGGACTGAATGGTCTCCACCCATTCAGCTCTTAGAAGTGAAGACATATTGATTATATAAAGTTTTAATTTATCTAGACCAGATTAATATGTTTTAAAATGTAACAATAACTAGCCAGTTTTGGCATTACAAAGAACAACACATCTAATTTCCCCTATGAATTCTTTTTCTGAATTAGCTGGAACTAAGGATTCCTATCAGTATTTATACTTTTACGCTTTTTCACATGTTTAGCAGTATTTGTATCATATACAGTTTGATTCCGATTATTTTTTTCACAATTGGTTTTCCTTGAGGAGATAAATATTAGAATCTTTCCCCAGTTTATTAATAGTTGGCGTTAATGTAGGAGACCCCTTTCTTCCTCTAAGCAAGAAAAGGGTCTCCTGCATTATCATCAACTATATAATAATGTAGATAAAAGAGTTTTCTTTGAGTTTCATAGATTTTTGCTTTGGCAGCCACAATTGGAAAAAAAAAATCTGAACAGAATGAAGTGAAAGGGAAAAACGTTCAAAGATCTTTCTCCTATATCCTCCTATCAAGGTATATTGTAAAGGGATAAATATTTCAACAATGCGCCTTCTAATCTACCGGTAGTTCCATGGTTTTAAAGGTGTGTAAAAACTTTTGCATTAAAACTCTTTCAAAGTTAGACACTTCTGACCTTACTGCAACCATTCTTATATTGGAATATTTTTGGCAAAAAAAGACACAGCATCTGAGTTTCAGATCAAAAAAGAACAGAACACTCCATTTCAAACTCAAATTTTAAACATTAGCATCTAAAACAGATTGCACACCTCTATATTATTACATATCGTAACGGCTAAATAAGGAAGACATTACCTTACCTTTTCTTCTGATGCTACTGTTAATTTGTCACTGGATATTAAGCTGCACACCTGTTCTACACCAATACTGAGAAATTCCTCACCTAGTACAACCTCAGTAAAGTGCTGTTCTATTTCAAGAAAAAAAAATGTAAACATACAGATTGTAGCAACAGAAAAAGCATGAAGGAAGCATTTTATCCTTATAGAGATTCAGGAAACACAATATAGTTTTCTTTCTAGTAATAATTGCTAGAATATACAGCTCATGTCCATGAAAGAATAATGTCATTTAAAATGTGGAAATCTCATTTATAAAGCCAACTGGACTTTGTGTGCAATTACCAACATAATTTCTAAAATAAGGCCACTACATTTGGAAAATAAGACTGACTATTAGGTCTTCCTTTTGAAAAATGTAATACATAATAAGGTTAAAGACTGGAATCATGGCAGTGGCTGGATAAATCCTATTTTAAATACAGGGTTATCCCAAAGTCTTAGTACAGAACTATATTAAGACTTTTAGAACACCCTATCATTTTTGTTTCAGTACATTTGAGTATATTACAAAATGTGCATAATGCTATATACACCAAGAACATAAACAAACAAATATCAGCAAACATGATAGATGAATTCTACTATAATTAATGGTAAGTGGGATTAACAATTTAACCATGGATGTTATGTTTGATGGGCTTGTTTTTGTAAGCCACCCATAATCATCTGCATGTGGTGAATAGCTATAAAATCATATAAAGTTATAAAATAAATAAGGCAACATTATTTGAGAGGCAGCTTGGTCTAGTAGTTAAGGCACCAGGCTAGAAAGTGGGAGATTGTGAGTTCAAGTCCCGCTTTAGCCATGAAAACCAAATGAGTGACTTCGGCCTAGTCACTCTTTCTTAGCCTAACTCTCTTGACAGAGTTGTTCTGGTGGAGAAAATAGAAGGAAGAAGGTGTGTTGGATATGTTTGCCACCTTGTATTTGTAAAAGTTATTTGTAAAAATAATAGGCATAATATAAACAAATGGCTAACAAAATGTATTCAGGTGTAAATAGAATAGAAAACAGCAACTAGAATTTTAAAATGAGAGTCTTCTAATCTTCACTACAGTTTGATACGTTGGCTATTAGAACATGGTAAACCAAAATAACGATATCCAATTTAAAACAGATCTTCCAATTCTGTAAAATCATACAATAAATTATATAAACAAAATAAAGCTGATCACATATGTATTCACAAGCTTATGAGCACCATTCCACAGGTTGCTAGTTGATGTACAAAGATTTCAAATCATTGTTTAAACAAAGAAAGGGAAGGAACTTGACAGATATCTGGTGGAAAAGAATTCCACAATTCGCCCTATTTCTGGTATTTGGGCATATACGCCAATAAATACGTAGCTAAAATAGTAGTGCTTGCATGTATGTAGGAGATATGGGAAGGGAGTGTTGCTAATTATCATTCTTGTTTGTACCTTCTAGTTCAAGAAAATAGACACCCACGAAGACAGGGGATTATGTGGGTACCAGCCCAAACATATTTCGCATAATCTGGTTGGAGCTGGGCCAGTGCAATCTCCCACTGTTGCAGAACTAGAGGTTTATGTGACAAATTGCATAATTTGTATTAGAAGACAATGTTTTGCAATGTTGTCTTCTAATACAAACCTGTATTAGAAGGCAACACAATTGGCTGAAACTCATTTTTATAATAATGCCTCAAATTATTATGCACTATTTTCTCAAAGGAAAGACATTAACAACCAATACATAACTGGAAATATTCCTAGAAGTAATTACTAAACTAATTACTTTACTAGAAGCAATTATTAAAAGTAAAGTAAAGGTAAGGTAAAGGTTTCCCTGCCACATATGTGTTAGTCGTTCCTGACTCTAGGGGGCGGTGCTTATCACCGTTTCAAAGCCGAGGAGCCAGCGCTGTCCAAAGACGTCTCCATGGTCATGTGGCCAGTATGACTAAACACCAAAGGTGCACAGAACGCTGTTACCTTCCCACCATTAAAAGTACTATATGTCTAAACATATAGTATTTTTTATCTGTAAAATTAACATATGAAATGAAGTGTATTATAATTGCTTTCCATAAGGTGAACTCCACAGATGCAAGCACACATGCATGGTTAATACAAGGGGAATAATTCTCAACACAGGCCCTTGACGGTACAATGAAGAAGAGCATTTCTCAGAAATGGTAGCTGGCCAGATAAAAAATTAGTTGCATTTGCTGTATTATCGCTATTATAGCTGAAGTAATCTGGGAAACTGAATTACTGTCTATTGAATTGCCACATTAACAATAATTCTTTTTATTCTGGCAAATTGAATCCTACTATTGTATTACTTACATTAATATTTTGAGAAAGGGAAAAGGTGCCAGTTTTCAAAGATTTAATACTGCTTTGTTTAAATATCTATTTTAATCTTAAAATTTAGTTTTTGAAATTTATTCAGCCTCTTGGCTGCTTTGCTAATATCAAATCATAAAACAATTTTTGTTTGTTATCCATACAATTTTAATTTCTCCGTTGTAATTTACATTCTTTTTCATGTGAACAATATGGAAAGGCTTCTCCAAAGTTAAAAATAATACCATAATCCTCAATTTTAGAATTGAACTTCCACTTGCCTGCGTATGTGTTGGCCTTGTTCAGAAGCTCAATGCAGGCATGCATATCAGCAAATGCTCGGATACCCAAACAGTTGACAGGATGAAGCTGAGTTTCCAAAAAATCACAGCAACTTTTTTTTACATCCTGCAGCTGCAACAAACTAGCTGCTGGGAGTAGTACCTACAATAACCAAAATTAAAAGAGTCAGTATCATCAAGAAAAGTAAAAAAAAGGAATTTCTAAGTCTAAGACAGTCTGTAAAAGGTTAAGTAATTATATAACTAATAGTTAAATTCTCATCATGCTTGGGACTTCCGGTTTGCTGCTGGCCGCCGCTAGACGCTCCTTTGGGATCGTCAGCTTCCTTTGCCTGTTAGAGCCGCCTTCACAGCGGAATGGCGGCTCGAAAAAACTCCGTTTCCATGAGGAAACGGAGATAGAGCCGGCAGGGGTGGGTAGAACTCTCCGCAGAGCCCCAAAAGTTTTTTTTTTACTTTTGGGACGGAGCGGATGAGATGCCCCATATCCCCAGCCGCTGCTCCGGGCTTTGGGAGACCTCTGCCAATGCAGAGCCAGGCGTGAAGAGCAAGCCTGCGAATTTAACAGATTACTAAAAGAAAATGTGAGCTGGACCTGTAATATTGAAACGCAAGTATTTTACTTATCTTCTAAAAAAATTATTTAAGAGAAAAGAGGAAAGGAAAGGGGGAGAAAAAAAGCCTTTTAAAATGGCGTCTGCCGTGGCTGGAGAAGAGGCTGAAAGGGAAAGTCCTTCCGTTTTCTATTAATACAATGTAGCGGAATAAACACCACTGGCTACATTTGTAGACAAAACTTCGCTCCTGTGTCTTTTTCTCCCCTGGAGACTTGATATTGTTATTGATTGGAAAGAAGTCTTTTTTCTTTTAACAAAGCTTGCCTGGGCGGAAATATGGCACTGAAACTTATAAAGCCAAACAAACAAGTAGTGGGGGGGGATTCCCCCACTAATGACTTAAAAGAACAAGTTTTAACTCTTCAATCTCAGAAACCTGATTTTAATATAATAGAATTTCTTTTAGAGGAGATTGTAAGAAGGGATGAGATTGTGAATCAGCATCTTGAAAAATTTAAGCAGGAAATTAAAGAATTGGTGAAATCTAAGTTTGATTTTTTGGAGCAAAAAATTTTAAAAGTGGCTAATGGTTTGTCAGAATTTATGATACAGTTGGCTACAAATACTAATTTACTAGAGTCTAAAATGGAAGAAATTCAAGATAAATTGGACAATAGAACTCAAAAAATTGAAAATGATTTGATAAACACTCAGGATAATAGCTCAGAAGAAAAACCTAAAATGGAGGCTGATCAAAAGTCTGGTAATGTAGAAAATCTGCAACAGAGGATTGAAAGAGAGGTTTTAATGGTACAATATAATTTCACAGAATATGCGATAAGACTGAGAGGTTTGCAGGAAGATAACAGAGATGATTTAAGGAAAATATCTTCTGAATTTCTAGCTGGGATTTTAAAGGTTCAACCCGAGGAAGTGTTTTGTAGGATTGACAGAGTTTACAGAATAAATTCCTGGATTGCCAAGCAAAGGCAATTGCCTAGAGATGTAGTGATTTATTTTACAGACAAGGAAATTAGGAATAATATTGTGCAAAATTCCTTCAATTCTAATCTGCAACTGCATGGAAGAAAGATTTGGATTTACAAAGAACTCCCACCTAAGATATTAATGGAAAGGAAGAAATTTGCTTTTCTGGTGACTGAGTTAAAAAAGAGAAATATCCTATTCAGGTGGGACGCTCCAGTTGGTATCATATTGAGATATCAAGGAGAAAGATACCAGTTAAATACTGTTGAAAGAGCGGAAGAATTTTATCAAAACAGATTGAAAATGAACTTAACGTCTTCAGGTATAATACAGGATAAGCAGAAGGAGTTGGAAATAAAGGGAAAATACCGAGCTACAGAGACTGTACCAGATAAACTGCCTTTGGATTTTTCAGATACCCCAGCTGGATTATTTACAAATCGGAGAGAAGTGGCATCTGACTTTAATGTGATGACCTATCAAGTCAAGGACAAGCACGGAAACCAATTAGGGGATATACAAGGGGCAAAAAAGAAAGATGAGACACAAAAACAAAACCAATAAGATCAATCTACAGAGCAGAATCAAAACCGACTAGTTGATACACAATCCGTAGAAAGGAAACCAGGATGGAAATCAAACCCGCAAAAAGAAAAGAAAAAAAGAAATAGGTTGCATAAAAATAGAAATTTCTAAATCAAGCAACAGTGAAGCCAGTGACTTTAAAAATGAATGAGTATATGAAAATATAGAGGAGGCGACGTATTGGTCAATATTATCCTGAGGATGGTGACAGGCCTCTGCATTGCCGTAATTTTGGGATGTGAAAAGAGCCTCAAACTGATGGATTTTAATTATCTATTTTGGAACTCCTTTTTGTGCTGATAACTATATTATAATTATCTTGAATTATAAGGCAAAAGAGTCATACTGGGGCATGCAGAAGATCTGGTTGTTACCCACTACGATGATGGGAATTAATAATCCTGATGAAAGCCACAATTATTACTACATGGAATATAAATATAATGTCACTCGGGTGGTTGTTTTTACTTTCATATATATAAGAGGATATTTACTACTGATGGGGGTAGATATGATTGAAGATTTTGAATATACTGTTGCATCAGCAAGCTATGTTACCCTATTATGGATGATGGTTTTAATAATCCAGTGGAAAGACTTTAAAGAAGATATCATATGGATTATAAATTTAAAGTTATTGTCTTTTCTTTTTTACTTAGATATAATGGAATATATATACATGTACTTTTAAGTAGAGTGGGCAATGAATTAAAGACATTAAGAATTGTTGTGTATGATAATTTTGCAGGACAGTGGGTGAATAAGCTAGTTTGCAGACTGATTAGTTTAAGAAAAGGGATTTTTAAGTGATACGTTTAGGGGAGTGGAGGGAATGGATAGAGTGGAATAAATGTTAAATTAGGTTTTACGGGGAGGGCCACTTTGGAATGCTATAGTAATATATATAGATCAAATGTTAATTTATTGTATAGTTTTAAAGTGGAAGGTGGTTTTGAATTGTTGTAATAATATACAGATACAAGCTTGGGAGAGGAGAAAAAGGGTAGATTATTGCCAAATTAGGAGTTATAATACTATTTTGCTAAATTAGAAGTTACTATACAATGTTATAGTATAATGTCTTTTTTTTTTATTCCTTTCTTGAAATGTATTGATAAAGGGGATGTTATAATATTAATAATACTTTTAGTA